CATGCAAGAAGGGGCAGGAAAGGAGAAAGGGAAAGAGGAAAGAGAAGGAAAAAGAAGAAAAGATGGGAAGAGAGCAAGGAAGGAAAAATAAAGAAAGAGGGGAAGGAAGATGTTAGAATGAAGAGGGGAGGAAAAAGAAAAGGAAGGAAGGAAGGAGAGTATAATGAGAGAGGGAGAGTCTGAGGGAAGTCCTGCCTTACCCCTTGGTCACCACAGGAGCCCCCCCTGCACAAGTCTCATGTCGCTCCCACCAAGCCACGCCCACATATGGCCACACCCTCCCCAGCCCTCTGAGGTCAAACAAAACCCTTATGTGGCCCTCAATGAAATGGAATTTCGCACCCCTGATATATAGCCACCAACGACATTTTAGCTTGTAGCTTTCCTTCTTCCTTATTTCCTGATTTGAGTCCGAGGAAAGCAAACCAGGGTATCTGAGGGAGGCCCTTCTGTTGCTCCAGTTCCAGTGATGAGGTGCTGAATCCACCTCTTTTCTTCCCCAGATACTCTGGAAAGTGGACTTCAACTACAGGAAGGTAAATATGAATTATAGGAATTGCAACTGCTTGCTATTTTAAGCTGTCATGCCAGTAACCTTAAGAGAAACATAGATTAACAAAAAAGAAAAATATGGGATTAAATACCTTAATATACCTTAGATACCAGGAAACTTTAATGATTGTATGATTTGTGAACTATTCTTTTCCATTAATATGTACAATATGAGCTTATACAGCAGAGACAAATTCCTTGTGTGACTGATACACACTTGGCCAAATAAAGCTGTTCTGTTCTGTTCTTTTCACACACCAGGCCTGCAACTGAAGCTCTTGTTCTTTTCCTTCCTTCCTCCCCTTCCCCCTTACAGTCCATGTAACTCTGGATCCAGACACAGCTGATCCTGACTTCCTTAAGATCTCCGAAGATATAAAAAGCTTCAAAGGACTTAAGAGATTTTTCCATAAACGTCCTGTCCTTGGCTGTCAGATGTTTTCATCAGGGCGACATTTCTGGGATGTTATTGTAGGCTGTACAAGAGGATTCAGTGTAGGGGTTACCAGCAAGCCAGTGAACTTTAAAGATGTTTATGAGGAGACCCGGCAGTGGCGGATTGTGGGATGGGAAGGGAAATACATGGCCAGGTCTCCGTTAAAAAGTTTTGACCTGGTCCTCTCTGAGAGGCCCACGAGAATTCGCATCTCTCTCAACTGCGAAGGGGGACAAGTGAGCTTCTTTGATGCCAGGACTGTAACTCTGCTCCGTACATTCTCAGACGCTTCCTTGGTTGGAGAGACCCTCCTGCCCTATTTCTACTTGGACAAGGGCCATCTGCGTGACACTCCCCTAACAGGCTAGGTGGTCTTGTAAATTGAAGGAGTGGATCGATCAATTGATCCAGAGAGAAATAACCTGACCATCATTTAAATGTCTCTGAATTGAAAAAAAAAATGAGGTGTCTTAGAAACTTTATAGGCTTTAGCATCATGTCTTGAGGTGTATGAATATTAAAAAATACCTTATCTTACAGCTAAACCCATAAATCATGGTTTTAGATGTCCATCATAACTCTCTCATTTATGTATCAGGCTTGTTTGTTTAATGTTTAGTTGCCATCAATGATTGTGAAAGTTCTGGACTTCCGGTTTGCCAGGCTTCGGCGATGGCAAGGATTCGCGTCTCTGCGCGATCCCTGCCGTGCTAGCCCTCTTGGTGCCTCCGATAACAACGGATCTGGAGGATAAGGCTGCCCTGTTGGGGTAGCTGAAGATAGGGGAGATCTGGACAGGGGTTGAGGGGTATCGCAGACCCCCTCCCCAGCCGGCAAAACCCCCTTTTCTCAAGGCGGCGGAGCGGCGGTCTTAATGGCCGCCACGAAGAAGCCAGCAACTGGCTTAAGAATGTGCAGGAGGAAGAAGGAGGAAGTTTCAAAGTGAAAGTTCTTCTTGGCTGAACCGGGACTTTAAGGACATATTCAATACCTTGAAAATTACTATTTTGGGGGGATGTTCCCAATGGAGGTTTCCTAAAGCGGCGAATGAAAGTGCTTAAAGGGAAAGTTACTCTCCCTCCCTTATGGAACTAACAAATGGACATGGAAAATCTGCTTTTTAACAGAAGGTAAAAATTTAAAGCCCTTTGTTACAAGTGGGAAGGGAGAGGTTTGGAAAAAAAATGTTTACATTAAGACTTTGTTGGAGGAGATGCCTTGAAGATTAAGAGACTAGAACCTAATTGCAAAAAGGATTTAAAATACAGATTGGTTTTTTTTTCCTAACTGACATTGCCTCAGGAAGAGAAACTGCAAAAGGAAGAATTTTGTGCTTTGCTTGGACTGTTTGATGACTTTGGGACTTTGGGGAATTGTTTTAAGTTTGGAAGTATTTTGGTTGGCTTAATAACAAGAAGAGGATAAAGAAAAAGAAGAAAAAGTTTATAATGGCTCTATCTCTCGATGAACTAAGAAAACAATACGTAAAAATAAGGAAAGAAGGCAAGGACGCTATGGGAGAAGCCCTTTGTTTTTTAGAAATGGTGTTTGCTATTTGTCAGCAAATTCAACAACAGCTGGAAGAAACGGAGGAAGAAGAAGCCATTTTTAATGAACTAAAAAGTTTTTTTAAGAAAGAAAGGAGAAAGAGAGGAGGGAAAAGGAAGGACTTAAGACCTAAAAAAATATCTTCTTCTTCTTCTTTTTCTTCAGCGTTTGTCTCGCGCTCGGGCGAGGTCCGCTAATGTCCTTGAGTACTGCTTCCACACCTCTCTGTCTGCCACGTGTGTCGGGTCTGCCTTCGCGATCTCTAGATCGGCCTTGATCGTGTCCATCCAGCGTTGTTTAGGTCTACCACGCGGTCTCGCTCCTCCGACAGTCACCTTCATTACAGATTTGATGATGGATTCTTCCTTGGCGCGGCTCACGTGGCCGAACCATCGTAGCCGGGACTGCCTCATGACCGTGGGGATGGGCACGACGTTGAACCGTCTACGCACTTCTTCGTTCCTGACGCGATCGAGTAGGGTGAGGCCTACCGACCATCGGAGCATTCGCATCTCCATTATCTGGAGTCTGCTTTCGACTTCTTTGGTCGTCGGCCAGCACTCTGCGCCGTATATGGCCACGGGGCGCACCACAGAGTTATAGATTTTCGCTTTCAGGCGCATCGGCATCTTCTTGTCACAGAGGACGCCCGTGACGGACTTCCATTTGCCCCACGCTGCATTGATCCTGGCTGCCACCTCAGTTTGTAGTAGGCCTTCTTCCCCAAGAGTAGTTCCCAGGTACTTGAAGGTGGAGGTGCGCGGTAGCTCCTGCCCGTTCACGTGGATGGAGCCTGTCATTTCATTGTCAGTGGTCAGGTATTCGGACTTCTTTAGGTTCAGCCGGAGCCCGAACTGCTCGAGGCGGTCGTGCCACTGTTGGACTCGGTGCTCGAGTTCAGCCTTGCACAGGTTGGCCAGGAACACATCATCGGCGTAGAGCAGCGTCCATGGGGCGGGCGTGTACAGGTCATGTGTAATTGTGTCCATCACCAGAATGAACAGCAGTGGTGAGAGAGCAGAGCCCTGGTGTACGCTGACAGTAATATTAAACTCCTCTGATATCCCAGCTGCCGCTTTTACACGGCTTTTGTGACATCTGTATAGGAGTTGGACCCTTTGTACGAGCAGCTCAGGCACGCCGTGATCTCGCAGTGCGTACCAGATGAGATCGTGCGGGACTCGGTCGAAGGCCTTTTCCAAGTCTAGGAAGGCGGTGTGGAGCGGGATTTTCTTCTCTCTGTGAGCCTCCATCAGCATCCGCACACCGAAGATGGCGTCGGTGGTGCCGCAGTTCTTGATGAATCCAGCCTGGTTGACGCTGATGTCGACGATGTCCCGAATGCGCTTATCAAGGACGCGTTCAAAGATCTTCATAGTGTGTGACAGTAACCTGACCGGTCTGTAGTTGGAGCAGTCCGCTGGGCTGCCCTTTCCCTTCCAGATCGGAACAGTGGTGCTGCGGTACCAGTCGTGTGGCACTTTTCCCGTGGAGACGATGTTGTTGAACAGCTCGCACAGCCACAATGCCGAGCCCGGTAGTGCCTTTTTCCAGAAGTCGGCAGGGATGTCGTCTGGTCCTGTTGCCTTACCGTTTTTCATGGCCTTGATGGCGTCGGCGACCTCGCTGGCATAAATGCCTGAGACTGGGCCTTCAACTGGGTCACCTCGCGGGGTTCGTGGGTGTGGGAACTCCTCGGTGGAGATCTTCTCGAAGTATTGCCGCCACCTCTCCGCAGCGTCTCTGGGGTTGACGATCAAATTTCCCCTTTCGTCGTTGATCCCATGAAACTGGTCAATGTCCAGGGTCTTCCTGTGTCTGCTTTTGGCTAGGCGGTAGATCTCATTCTCGCCTTCTCGCGTGTTCAGCTTCTCGTAGATGTCATCGTAGTGGGAGCTTCTGGCTGTCGCTACTGCTTTCTTGGCTGCCTTTTTGGCCGCCTTGTATTCGCAGAGCTTCTCGCTGGTCTTGTCCTGAAGAAAGGCCTTGTAGAGCCGTTTCTTCAGGTGTACGGCATCTTGTACTTCCGGTGTCCAGAGCCATGTATCTCGTTCGATGCGTCTCCGTCCTGGCTTGGTGCAACCAAGCTGTTGGCAGCCGTCAGTGTGAACAGTGCTCTTCAGCATGGACCACGCTTCCTGTGGCCCGTCGACCATCTGCAGGAACTGCTCCGGTTTGATGAGGGGTTTGATGAGAAAAATAAGATGCAAAATCAATATAATGCTAGAAAGCAAAAGGAAAGAAGAATACAACAGAAAGGGGAAGCCAAAAAGGCGGAGGTTAGGAGAGGAGTGGGTAAAAAGGCTAGGTGGGTCAAGAAAGAAAGGGAAAAGGGGGGGGGGGGAAGTCACAAAGGTATAAAAGAAGATGGGAAAAAGAAAATTTTCTTTAGGGACAAAGGGTAATGTATGATTTTAAAAAAGGGGGGATTCTGCAAAGTACACATGATAGTATTGTAGTATTTGTATTAAAAATAGAAAATTAGAATTTTATAAGATTCAATAAAAGATTAAAATATTAAAGTATAATGTTAAAATGTTTAATAATGATTTTAAGTTTTAATAAAATATTAAAGGAAATGTTTAAAATATTAGTTTAATTATAGAGTTTAACGGGCTAATGTGCTGATGTTATTATAGATTTATTATTGTAGTATTTGTTATTGAAATAGTAGAATGTACTAAGCAGAATCAGATTGGATTTAGGTGCTATTTTAAATGTCAATTTAGGGGAATGATAGAAAGGCATCATACTCTAGTGATTTCAGGAGAAATTATCTTTTTTTTATATTGGGAATGAGATAAATGTTTAAATGGAAAAGAATGGACAAAAGATAAAAAAATATTGACAAAGCAAGATGAAATATATAAAATAGAATTAAGAAGAGGGAAAAGCGGGGAGGAGTTATATAGAAGATATAGAATGGTAAACAAGATAGGTAACGGTATATAAGAAGAGCATGAATTTAATTGAAGTCCATACAAAAAGAGGTAATCTGGGGCCAAGCTACTTTCTAAAAGGAAGTTTTATGTTTTTGTGTTTTGTGTGTGTATGTTCAATTGAGAATTAATAAAATCTCGGAGGAATGTCAGATGAGAATAATTGTAAACAAGTCAGAGAGAAATATAAATATGATGATTTAATAGAGGATAAATATAGAAAAGGAATGTGATTGAATAAGAGTAAAGAGAAATAATGTGAAATTTGTTAAAGGGAATTTATGTGTCTATATGGAAATGGGGTAAATTAGAAGTATGCGATATAAAATAATATTTTACCTGCCTTGTAAAGATTTATAATGGAAAGAGGTTTTATGTTTTCAATGTTTAATGATGTTTTGTTTTGTTTGTCTTTAAAGTTAATAAAATTTGTTTTAAAAAAAAGAGATGGAGGAAATGAGACAATATATAGATAAAAATTTGGCACGTGGATTTATTCAACCCGGGAAATCACATATAGCTGCCCCTGTTTTATTTTGAGAGAAAAAAAGATGGTGGATTATGTTTTTGTGTTGATTTCCGCAGGCTCAATGCTATTTGTATAGATAATGTATATCCTTTACCACTGATCAACTATTTGTTAGCAACGTTAGCAACTGTCAGGTATTTTACAAAATTGGACTTACGAGAAGCCTACTATAGAGTTTGAATACGAGAGGGGGATCAATGGAAAACTACTTTTAATTGCCCCCTTGGAAGTTTTCAGTTTAACGTTATGCCATTTGGGTTGCAAGGGGCACCTGCTGTCTTCATGCAACTTATAAATGAAGTATTACAAGAATATTTATATCGTGGCATTCTAGTATATTTAGATGATATTT